TATTTTTACTTGGAATATATAGATCTATAGCATAAATATTTAAATAGAGCCACCTCTCAGTGTAAATCTCTTTTTGGGATAAAGTGTCAAGTGTGAACTTGGCAACAGATCAGATTTTTTAAAAATAATTGAGTCAAAGAATCTCTCTGTGAAAGGGATGCACCATTGACCACTCAGTCTTATACTTGGAAAGGTTAAAAATGTAAAGTAATTTCCCTTTTTTTGACTGAAAAGTAAGCTCTAATTTTATTTTTGTAATGGCCCCATGCAAAAACCCCAAAAACCTTGGCAAGTTTATGCCAGGGTGTTCCTGATCATAAGACAATTAGTTTTCACAAAGTGTAATTCCTACATACCCTAAATTGACACAGAAAATATCTGAGGCAGAAAATACTTCACAGGTAAATGAAAATGCTTTACTTCATTACTACTTTCTCTGCTTGGAAAGAGAAGAAATTTGATAGTATGATTCTACGCAGAACCAAAAACCTTGATATAAAAAAGATATTATTTTATTGCCTCTACCTTTCTGTTGTTCTATGTGTACTATTTCAAAGATTTATTTTTATGCAATCAAGAGAGGGCTTCGATATTGTTCACAATGCAGTAAAACCCTGAAATGTCTTTGAGGCTGAAATGACCTTGGAGGATAATTAAAACACCCTGAAAGCTACTGTCTATTTTGTTAGCACTGGATAACAATGACTTGTTCTAACAAGTTATCTTATCAGGTTTTACCTGTAGTTCCTATGCTAGATAGCAATCCAGTTCACATTTTTACAAATGTGATGTTTAAAACATGTCAATAAACATTTTGTACATAATGACAGTTTCCTATGAATAGCTTACAGACTTCCTCTGAAATCGTTCTTATTTCAAATGCCAGGATAAGAACTTAAAGGTTTGTAAATTATTTCTTGACCTACATCATTTTGTATTAAAACAAATGCAAAATGTTCTTCAAAATAAAACTGTGTAATAATTTTATTATACTTGGGAGTCCTTTTACTAATATTTTTTCACCAAGAAGTTCCAAAGGTTAAATTCAATTTGCAATGTTATAGGAATGGGAGGGAATGTGTGGAATGGGGTCTCAGTCTGCAGTGTCACATCATAGAAGTCTTTTATGAATGGTTGCTGTTAACCACAAAGAAATAAAACAGACTATTCATGTGCAAAAGGGATTACTACTTCTCCAGAGACAGACCTATGGAAATGATTAGGGAAATTTGACTAAAATACCCTGAAACATCTAAATAAATTTTCCATGCTGTCTTGGGAAGCTCCTGGGGAGGTTACCCAGCAGTACTCACTTTGTTACACTTTCCCAGCTCACAGAAACAAAATCTGGGAGGCCAAAATGGAACTATCCCTGTGGAGTAACAACGAGTAGATTTCAAAGTTCTACCTACTGTGTTCTACAGTAGAACCTACTGTTCTGCTGAGTAGATTTCAAAGTTCTACCTACTGTGTTCTACAGTAGAACCTACTGTTCTACTGAGTAGATTTCAAAGTTCTACCTACCAAAATACAATTCTGAGATTGAAAACAATCTCAGAATTGTATTTTGTCCAGCATGGACATTTGATAGCATGTCAGGTCCAGCAGATTGAGCAGAGTGACAAGATTTTTAATTAGTGATTTCTCCAAAGAGAGAGAAAACAATATGCTGACCTCACTGCATTTTCCTGCTCTTTGTCCTCAGCCTTTAACAGTGTGATGAGAGGCTCTTTAAGGAAGATATGAAATTTTATGAGAGAACTGTTTGCAAAAATAAACAATGAAGGAAATTTAGTTGCAGACCATATTCTATATAGTTTTTGGCATAGGGGAGAACATTTGTATAAGATTCAAAGAATACTTGTTTGGTTTTACTACTGAAATATGTGGTAACAATTAATCAATATATGCATAATTACGTGGTAACTGGCATACTTAGAATACTACCAATCATAGTAATTAGTACAAAAAAATCTAGAAGTTTTCTCAACAATTAAAACATCATTTATGAGACTCCAAATTTGTTTACATATGTATTTAATGAGAGAAAATACTAGTAAAGAATTAAACACTTGTAAGTATTCTACAGTGAAGTAAATTCACTGAAAAAATGAATCTATAACATATATTCATATTTGAAACAGTGTCTCTTTTTGGAGTTTGGCTGACAGAAGAATTGAGACTAAAAATTCTAATAATGTAATAAGATATGCTTGTGTTCTCCCTCTTCATTTTAACTATAATATAAAAATATTTAATTACTTGTATTATTATTTGATTATATATGATATCTATGTTATATTATTTATGCTTTTAGTATTAATCAAAATCCATTTTAATGCTTATTTATAGAGAATGCATATTCCAAGCCCACTTTTCCAGGGTTCCTACAACTGCCTAATTTGGTTGCAGAGTAATTGACAGCAGGCACTTGGCAAGGATTTTAAGGTTGTGGTGTACAAAAGCTTACATAAATTGAATACAATGCAATTTTACAAAAACTGCTATATTGTGCTGCTTTCAAAAGCACTTCTCATATTGAAACAACTTGAGTTGAAATGTGTGTAGAAAAGAAATGTTTTTGGTCACTTTTCTTTCTCAATCTCATTGTCCACAGCCAGAGACCTCCAACTGCCTGGAGCATCTGCAGCAAGCCATTTCCAAGGAGATGCTGGTGTTCTATTGCAGTACCATTGCTGGCCCAAGCCATACTGGCAGGTCTAGTAATTCTTGAATTAAACAGCTTTTACAGTTAACTGGTTTTGAACCCATAATATATTATCTGCATATTTATAGAATTTATATCTGGGTAGAATTGGGAATACTCGCTCTGTATTATTTTGTTAAATAGGTAAAACTGTGGAATTACAACCTGTGTTCTGCAGTCCAGTAAGGTGTAAAAGATGGTTAATTGTAGCTGTGAGACTGCCAGTGCTCCACAGGATATGTTAGAATAACCTAGACCTATTCTAAGGACCCTTTAGCAGACTTGACTCTGCTGGAAGTCAAAACAATTTTTAATGGGAATTCAATATCAGCAACCAGGTACAACACAGGACAAATTAATGGTAAATTGATGCTACTTAAAGATTCCTCCAGGGCAACAAACCCTTCAGCATGTATCACAGGAATCTCATGAGGGAGCCTCAGTGTTCTACAGCAGTGAGGCTGGAATTAGTAAAGCAACTGCAGCTCAAGGCAATGAAGATGTTCAAGTGTTTAGAGGGGGAGGAATCTGCAAGATGTCTGTGGATGGTTAGAACTGCAAGAAAAAATGATGATTCAGAAGAAATGCCTGATTATCTGATTTCTCAGTGCAGCAATGTCTCCTGAGCATAAGACACATGGATACCTAACCTTGCTATTTACTTCCCTTTTGGAGCTTGGCATAACAGCAGAGAGGTCTGTGCATGTTCAGTGGTGAGTTATGTAAACCAGTGTGGATACCTAACCTTGCTATTTACTTCTCTTTTTGGAGCTTGGCGTAACAGCAGAGAGGTCTGTGCATGTTCAGTGGTGAGTTATGTAAGCCAGTGGCTAGTTAATCCTTTGCAGTTGCGTAATAACAATTCCCATCTTGCATGCCTGGAGTGGAAAGCCACACTGTAAATCTGCAAATGCAGGAACTTCAGTGTTTCATCTTGCCAAACTGCCTCCCTTCTCAACTGCACAGGACTGTGGTAAGTTTCACCAGTATATATAACTTAAAATATCCTTATTGTATTCCAAATGACACTAGAACTTACTGAACACCCTTAAAGAAAAATCTCACAAACATAAGTGCTGAGAAAGAATTATTTGCCATTAGGAGGTACACAATACACAGTCCATGCTTTTCTCAAACAGTTGCACCAGAGGAATTGTCTCCTTAACTCAGCTAATCAATCACCTATGATGTGAAATATTCTTGTTCTTCCCCTCATTTCAAAGAACTGCATCACATACATAGAAAGGGTTTACCTGTCTCCCTTTGGAGCAGAGTTCACTGCTGTAATCCATCTTCAGTGGTTTTGTTTGTGTTTATGCAGATGCTCTAAGGAATGAAGTCCTTTCCTACAGCAGAGCTTCCAATCAGTGCCTTACAGAGAGCAGCACCAGGTACAAGTGTCTGCCTTAAACATCTGCAGTTGTCCCTCCAGCCAACATCTGAGTCAGCAAGGTTTTCTACAGTTTGTCAAAATTGTGCAAAATTCCAATTTTTTGCTGAAAATATGTTTATTCTCTTTGCCACAAGTCTTGATCAATCTTAGGCTACAGAAGATTTTTACTTTATGATTTTACATCTGCTTAGTCAGAAGTTACTTTTGAATATTTAATAAATACAAAATAATCAATGGAATAAATTTCCTTCACTGAGTTCAGCTTCTTTAGTTTTTTTTTTAATCAATACCTTAGTTTGACACCAAAAACAGCCATGAAAGCTGTTTCTTAAGCTGTATCTTAACTTACACATCTGAAGATTTGAAAAGCATAGATTTAAGTCCTAACTAGAATATAGCATTGGTTCACTGAATAAGATATTTGCCGTCTAATTTAAAAAAGCTTTTTTAATCAGTACCTTAGTTTGACACCAAAAACAGCTATGAAAGCTCAAGTATCTTAACTTACACATCTGAAGATTAAAAAAGCATAGATTTAAGTCCTAACTAGAATATAGCATTGGTTCACTGAATAAGATATTTGCCGTCTAATTTAAAAAAGACCTCTTCCCATATCATCAATATTTGACCTTATACAATTATTTAGAGTAACATTTCATTTTAAATATAGTTTGGTTGTAATTTTTCTAAATAAAATTTGAGTGTTAGCAAGGCACCATTCAGAATATTTACTGATAAATATCTTTTGCAAACAATCATCTGAGCAAAGACCAATCACTTTAAGGATGTTATAGAAAGTGCAGATCTCTTACTGCTAGAGTGGTAAAACTACATCAGCTTAAATTGTGAGCAGAATCCTACTAAGCACTTCGTGAAAAAAAAGGCAAAACAAAAGAAATATCAATTTTCCAGTAGATTTTAATAAATTTCAACTCCAGTTCTGCATTTTTAGAAAAATAAGTTCTGATAAATACACTGTATATCTTCTTCCTGAATGATCTACAGTTAGAGGCTGCTGAGCTTAGTGAAATCTAACTTTGAGTGGGATTTGTAAACTGTGCATTCCTTTCATAAAGGAAATGTTTGTCACGTTTGACAAACTCTGAGCACATGCAGGTTCCTCCCTTTCCTATGAATTCTGATACAAACTATTTCAGCTCTTGAATTTGAAATTACATAAGTGCTTACATTTGTTTGACCATTCTCTGCAGGACGTGGTGATTACTGACTAGCTATTTTCCTGGGTAACATTCTAATAGCAATTAAAATTCTTCAAATAACATAATAATTTCAAAATAGCCCACATTAATCTCTTCCATTCCTCATGCAGTCACATGGTATTTCTGGCTGATGTGTACAACCTTGTCATTTAGAAACAGCTTTTCTTCAAAAGAATATTTGAATATACCACAGAAGGTAATATTTAACTAAATTTGTGATTCTTGGAGTGTTCTGCACAGGGCCAGGAATTGGACTTAATGATCCTGATTGGTCCCATGAAACTCAGCATATTCTATGATTCTAAAAAAGGAACTGAAGCCAGCTGATTAAAAAAAACAGTAGGTAGTCTAATACAAAAAATTATTCAAATTAATAGTTACTTTAATAGGATATGTTATTTTTCATTATATTTATCACGTTGGCACATTCAGTATGAGATGCCAACATAAGGATGAAAGCCTAAATAGCAAATTATATGAAAGGATAAGAATACTTATTTATCTCTGTGTTTCCAAGGTCTTGGGCTTATATACAGGAACATTTTTCTCCTGAAGTGATGGGAGGCCCTTAATTATATCTGCAGCTTTCTCTGCTATCATGATAGTTGGGGCATTCAAGTTTCCAGTGACAACACTGGGCATTATTGAAGCATCAACTACTCTCAAGTTTTCAACCCCAATTACTTTTGTCTGGGGATCCACTACAGCGGTGCTGTCTGAAGGCTGACCCATTTTACAGGTGCAGGAGGGGTGATAAGCACTATCAGCCTTCTGCCTTATGAAAGCATCTATTTCTTTGTCAGACTGAACATGATTTCCTGGTTGAATTTCAGGCCCACGAAATTTTTCAAAAGCTTTCTGAGCAAAGATCTCTCTGGTCAACTTGACACACTGGCGGAATTCCCAAATGTCTCTTTCTGTATAGAGAGAAAATAAGAAAATTATAAGTACACATTTAATTTACCAGTATACACAGAATGTAAAACAGAAAAAAGCAAGAATTGTGGGGAAAAAAGCTGGAAGGAAAGTCTCTCACTTCTTGCTGAAAGCCACGATAAAGCAGAATATTTTTCAAAGTCACAGATTTACATCCAGTGTGAAGAAAATTGTTGCTTATATTGCACAAGCCCAAAAGGAAAGATGTGAACTGTGAGGAATTTCACTTTATCTTTCTGTGCCCACTGTCTAGGAAAAGAAAAATAGTCTCAGCACAAAGCAGCAAAAGAAATTATTCCTTCACAAGCAGAGGTGGTGACAAAACAAACAGCAAGACACAGCAGATACTGAGAATTCTGACTTCATCCCCAACAGAAAATTCTTTCTAGTTTACACAGTGGTTGCACAATCACCTCTTTCCATACTAGTTGACTTTTATAAATGAGAAATAATTAACAATGTACCAACCAGCACTTCTGAACTGGTGTTGAGTAGGTACAAAAATCAGCTACTGAAGCAGGCAGTAAATAAGCTGACAGAGCAAGGAGAGGCTGCAATTACCTGTTGACAGGTAGTTGGGCTCAATGATGGGGTGGTCGTTTGGGTCTGAGCTCTTCAGCTTCAGCCAGCCCACACTTGTGCTCCTCATGGGTCCCACATGGACCTGCAACACCCGACACAATCCCACCAGGTCTACTTCCAAATTCAGCATGGCTGGTTTTTTAATTTATTTTTTTTTTTTTTGCAATTTAGACAGACTTTACAAATTCAGCAAATATAAACATTAATCAGAGATAGTGGAAAATACCATTGAACATTTTTCCATTTTATATAATTTATTTTGTAAATATGTAATTGCACTGCAGGGAGCAAATATGCCTGTCACATCAACTCACAGCTGTTCTTTTCATTTAAAATATAACCATTCCAATTTAGTACTATCAGAGCACTCTAATACAATCAGCAACTGGACCAGATTATTGTATCTCTGAAGAAAACAGACTAGCAAGGAAAAGCATGTACATTCAGTGACAGTTCTCCAGAATTAGCACTCAGAGTTTTGGATCAAGATGATAGTCTAAAAAAGGGCTTGGATTTGTGCCAGTGAGTAAATGAGTGTTTCCACATATTTTCATTAAACCTTTGTCTAAACTGCAGTGGAACACTTTTGTTCCACTGCAAAACTGTGTCCTAACCCACAGCACTAGGGCACTTCAGTAGAGTGAATACTTAATTCAATACTTGCCTTCTTTCCGAGAGACAAAAACTAACATAAGTTTGGTGGCACTATCAAATAAGAAGGCTGTGTTTTTTCCCCAGTGAAGGAGGTTAAGCAGTCTATTGCATATTATACTGAACACAGTATTTTTCAGTATATAGCCAAATTATCAACATTTATAATGGAGCATAAACCTCCTTGCTAATGGCTACAAAGTCTTACTGGAACATTCTCTTCTACTCACCTGATAAGCTTCCATTGTGGAAGCAACCCGCCCGTGGTCAATCACCTGGGAGGGAAGAAAGTGGAACTGAATGTCGGGGTAAGGAACCCCTGGTTCACTCCGGATGAAACCACCAGATTCCAGGTGAGACGTGGCTCCCTCACCTAGGGAGTGAAAAGGAGGGAGAAGATGCCATTAAAATACCTCCACAGAGCAACAAGTCCACTTGTTTTTAACCTGTAGATGCACTACCATGAATAATTGGTAGTGCATCAGTCGCAAGGAATGCAAATCCATTATGAAAAGCTTGTAGTTTAGGCACTGTGCACCACTTTCATCTGCTTTTTAATTCCTAGATAAATGCAAATATGCATAACTTTGGAAATCCCCCTGATCTGAGAATGGGATGTTACAGTTATCCTGTCAAGGCTCTGACTCCAGAAGCAGATTTGGATCCTAAGAGGTGTAGAGGGAGCTGGCTGCACATCCTGATATTCCTGCACTGCTCACTCCGTGATGTGCACTCCAGTTATCCCATCAGTCACATGGAACAGGCAGAGCCATCCACAGTGCCTGCCCTGAAGGGAAAGATGAAAGCCCTGCAAGTGCTTTATGTTATTTTCATTTCTGTTTAAAACTGTTAGTTAGCTCTCAATATTTACTTGCATGGTAAAAAGCCACGTATACCCAGAATAAGTTGTCAAATAATAACATAATTCAGCAAGTGATGTAGAGCTCAACTTTGGCCAAGCTATTTGACTGCCATCAAGGATTATGTTTACAGGTACAACTTATGATTGAGGTACTGTAAAATTCATGTGTCATTCTGAGGAAAGTCAATTCACATTTACTTGCAGGGCAAAAGGATTCTGATCAGAACAGCAAATAAATTCTTTTAAGACAATTATACAGAAGTCAGCTCAACAATATGTTTTTATTGACATCACATTGATTTAAAATAGAATACTTTCTCCACCTTTTTTGCAATAGTTTTCTTAGTAGCACTGATTTTTAAATATATTATTTTTCTTTGCATGAGATCTAGGAATATTAAAAGTGGTGTATAATAACCTCCTTCATTACCTAAGATATAAAAACTTCAAAATATTCTGGTATAGAAGAAAAGAAATAGTTCAAATCCATTTGCAAATTCCATTTATTTCTCAGAGCATAAAAAGGATTACATATTAAGGCTCCCAGCCTATAAAACTCATGGATAAAAGGCTGTCATGATTCTCAATCAGTCAGTGGTAGAATGATTGCATACTTTGCTTCATACCTGTAAATTTCCAAAGCCATTCGAGGCCAATCCTCACCATGTTCAGTGGCTTTTGTGCACTATACAGAGTAATAGGTTTGGTGCACTTTTGCTGGACATACACTTCTAAATGATCTTGCAGGTTCTGGCCTACTCCTGCAGGGGGTAGAAAGGGGGGAAGGAGAAGAAAGTGAGAGGAAAAAAAACCCAGTTATTTCATACAGAAAAATTACCCACCATGTTTCAAGCAGAGAACAACTTAAGTGGGAATTAAACCAAGCTCTTACAGGGGCAGTGGTGACACAGACCAAGGCCATGAGTCACATCAGCCTTTTGCTCATGTCAGAATAAGGTTTTACATAAACATAGGATAATTAGAATGAAAATAGAAAGTTAAATGGCAGATCTAGCAGTTGTTCTGAAATTGCCACTGCTTCTAAATACTGTGCTAACTTTAGCTTTAAGGAAAAGTTAATGTTATTTCTTCTCTATTTGAATATTTATGACAGTGGGAGTTTACACCATGTGTAGTGGATCAAAACTAATAATGACAAGTGTGCTACTTAATTATAAAAATATGCCTTCAGAAAGGCATTTTTCACTGTCAAATGGGGTGAAGAAAGAGTAGGAGTTTGTTGCTTAGTTGTAAAATCAATGCATGTTTCCACTGATTTGTATAAAATCAATACATCTTTCCACTGATTTGTAACGAACATGTTTTCAACATGTGTCTCAGTCTACACAACCTGACATAAAGAAAACTATTTCGCGATTAATTTGATTTAATGGTCATTCAATTGCATCCACAGGAAGATGAAAGAAGAAAGAAAAAAAATTACCAGGAAGATGGCAAACAACAGGAATCCCCAGTTTTTTTAGATCATCTGCATTTCCAATTCCAGACAACATAAGCAGCTGGGGAGAATTAATGGCACCTGCACTTAAAATAACTTCCTTATTGGCAGAAACCTAAAAGGAAATGAGCACAAAAGGCCTAAGATTATAATGCCTGAGCTGAATGCAAGCAACATCAGGGGCTGCTGCTTGGATATGCTGTTCTGATCCAGATTAGACACCCTTCCCTCACATTTTCCTCATTTAAATGTATTCCTGTCTTGTCAGAATTTTCCACAGAGAGAAGCAATCAAGCTTTTGCTTTGATCATTCCTGTATTTATTCCCATCTTTACAATCCATTCAAACCGTATGGCACAGAAACATTCAGCTCCTGTCCTGCTTGCCAGGGGAACAGCACCTGTGGCACTCAGATCAGGCAGCTAAGCTTCTCCGCCATTTTCAGTAACCCTTTATAAATTAAAACTGGAACTCCTAAGGAAGATCTGGAATTCACAGACATGGTTGTTCAAGAATTCTCAAGAGCTTATTTTGTTTTAAATTCAACCAAGGCTAAGGTTTGATTTCTTAGCTTGTGGTAGTCCTCAAAAGCCCCCCCTCACCATTTACTAAAGCACTACTGATAAAATAGTAGCAGGTATAGATTGAATTTTGTTTTTCTCAGAGTCTTTTCATCAAATGGTTTGGTCTGAGCCCTGAGCTGGCCATAAAACAGGCTGCTAAATGATTCCTTTTCCTTTGACTGGGAGTTTTAACAGATTAGCAAGGAATGCATACTAACTTGGAATCCTGTCCTTTTTCAATGACACCTCAGCTACACAGAAAGATGGCAAAATGTTGCTACAGTAACATCCAAGTAATAATAATAAAAAGCATTTTCACACTATTTATCCAATATGGTCTACAGATGGCCAGTGCTGTTACCTTTTATTTGTTACTGCTTTGCTCTGGGCAATCATTAGTATGTTAAGACTAATAAACACTGTATCAGAGTATGTTGAATCAATATTTAGAGTTGTATTTTGCATGTTATACAAATTTATTTAACTTATTTACATTTTCTATGGTACACACAGAACTGGTACCAGCTTGTTCAGAGCAACACTCAAATGATGCTTGCTCAGTCTAAGCCCCCTGCAAGTCAGCACTGTAGTTATTCTTAGCCCACACAAAGTTTTCCATAATGTCACAGCTAACATGCTAAGAGGAAAAAGTGACTTTGATACACTTTAGTTTGAGTTAGTCTATAATACATTAAAACATTTTCATCCTCTATATGAAATATTAAGTGTAAATACACTTTTCTGCTTGGTTCTGAACTTAAAAACTCCAGGAATGTTCAGTCTACCTTTCCTACTTTTACTGGAGTCCTGGGAGACCTCTAGGACTTCAGTGTTAGACAAATAACAAGTCACTGGCTGGTGAATACATTCTGAATAACTTTTGAATCAGGTTTGGTGATCTTTTCATTTTGCTGATGACTGATGTAAAATAGATTATATCTAAAATAGACTGTAAAAACAAAAACACTTTAATGTAGTCAATTGCTTCATCTTGATGGTCATAATGCAATAAAATTATTAGTTCTTCCATCCTGACAGGTATAAAATTTTCCAGAAAGTAAAAGCAGATACTAATCATGCAGTTTTGATGCTGGAGGAGGGAGGGGAAAGGGAAAGAAGGAAGGGAAATACTTTGAAGGTGTATTTTGTACAATACATGATATAAACATATATTTTTCACTATGTAGAATTCATGCTTATTATGTGTGAAAATTCACAGCAATCAAAGAATTTTGCAATTAAATGATCCAGTATTCAGAAAGCCTTTGATCATGTGTAGTTGTGTTTTCAAGACTGTCTTCAACAAAATTGATCTTGATGACGGCACAAGAACAGCAATTAGAGGTACTGTTCACAGAAATTTAATAGCTTATAAATTCAGTTAAAGGTTCTGCAACTTTTGTTTCATATTGGTAAAATGATTATAATTTGCAATCCAGTTAGAAAGCAGCAGATTTGATCTGTGCTTTAGAAAAATCAAAGAACAGATTATTTATACTGCATTTTAACTTCTGGCTGGTGCTCAGTCACAGAACTTGTCTGCTGAGTTTTATAAGGGTTACTGAACTCAAACCACCAAGATCTGTACTCAGCTCTCTCTAGGATATTATTATTGCATTTTGTAATTGTTTTATAGTCCTTTGTGACCAAATCTCTTAGGTTATTAACATACAAACCCCTTTCAGTCAATATCCTGGTTACAGAATAATCCATAATCAGCTGTTAAGGGAAGTGAGGATGGTTTGGATCCTACAGAAGTCAATGGATTGAAAGTCAATTGATAATACAAGCAAATTATCCAGAGTCACAATCACATTTTCACTGGGGTTGGACTGAAACTGAGAAATATTCATTCCACAGCCAAGCATAAGGCAAGATTTGTCATTTATCCCTTGAGCCATTCACATTTCAGTATCTGGCTTTTACAGATTTTCCTCCGCCAGAATTGTTTTTCAGAAACATCCCCATTGCAGCACTCTGGTCAATGTGCTGGGACAGGGCACAGTTGCACCACAGGCTCCAGTCTTACACAACACTCTGTGAAACATCAAGTTATGGCCTGTTCCCTCAGCACTGGGAGATGGAAATGTGATGATGAAGTTAATCTCTAAATCAATACAACTGGAATATCATCTACTGTGAAATAACTGACAAGGAATCATATATTGTAAGAAACAACCTAACCTCTAAAAAAAGAGAATATTTTTAACAGAAGTTTTTTTAAAAATATATAATTTAGCTTTGATTCATACCTCTCATACTGAAAATTGAAAATCTCTTACCTTTTTCCTCTGCCCATTTTTCACATACTCAATACCAATGCATTTTGTTCCTTGGAACAAGATTTTTGTTACAAGTGTCTTCTCTGCAACTGAGAAATTTGGGCGTGATATGGCTGGGCGAAGATAAGCACTAGCTGTGCTCCATCTTTGACCTACAATGTATATTTACATTAAACATCAAAACAGTCATGCTCAGTATGCTTCAGATTTTGGCCAATAACCACCAGGATGCCTATAAATTCTATGAAGACTTCCCCTCTATGAAGAAGGGAAATCTTCATAGAATTTATAGAGTTCAAAGCAAATCTGATTTGATATAACAATTAAAGATATTATTTTAACGTAACAAATTTTACAATGACATAATTTAACTGTGGATCAGAACTTTTCTACCAGTGCAACTTGCAATAAAGTATACAGTACTTCACTGTACAGATAGCAAGCTGCTGAGAAACGCATAGGGTGTAAATGCAGAGTGCCACAGCTGGGTAGTAACCTAAACACTCAAATGGCATTCAGTGCAGATTGCATGTCCATATTTCAACATTATTTCTGGGTCAGAAACAGACATTACTCAAGGACCTCTTTCTGATTTACCTTGGTGTATAGTCATGTCCATCCAGCCAAAGCCTTCCTGCTGGTAGCCATTCATGTCATCTGTGAAGGGATACCCGGCTTGCTGGGCAGCCTCCAGGAACGCCTGATGGAGAGGATGCTTCTTTTTCCCTCTTGACACGTGCAGGGGGCCATTCCCACCTCTGTACTGATCCGGCCCCAGTTCGTGTGTCTGTGCCTTCTTAAAATAGGGCAGGCAGTGCTCATAGTCCCAGCCCAGAGCCCCCTCCCTGCTCCAGCGGTTGTAGTCCTCGGCGTGCCCGCGGATGTAGACCATGGCATTGAGAGAGGAGGAGCCACCCCACACCCTGCCCCGGGGCCAGTACATCACCCGGCCCTCCATGTGCCTCTGCGGAGTGGTGTGGTAGTACCAGTTGTATTTCTCATCGCACAGGTTGTAGGTTAAGGCAGCAGGCATGTGGATCTTCCACATCAGCCTTATGCTGCCCAGCAGGGTGTCCTTGGGGCCCGCTTCCAAAAGCAGCGCGGTGCTCTGCGGGTCTTCTGTCAGCCTGTTGGCCAGCACACAGCCTGCTGAGCCAGCTCCCACAATGATGTAATCATAAGAGTTTGTCTTTTCAGAGCTCAGTTGGGATGAGGCACGTGAAATTTTGAATTGTTCGTTGATGCTGAACGCGTTCTTTAACGTGCGTGCTTTAAACAGGCTTCCTGCTACTTTGCACATCACAGGACTGGGACATTTAAATCCTTTTGTTAAATATGACATCTTTATTGATAGTCACTCTTGCAGAATTTCTGATAAAATCCAGTGGTATACCCTAGAAAAAATCCCAAAGATACTAATTAAAATGTAAGCATTGCTACCTCTAAAATGTCAGTCATTTTCAGGTGAGAATGGTATACTTTACCCATTTGGACTACCCAAAAAGTTAACAATGGCAATAAAGAGGTATTATTATTTATTTATTTATTATTATTAATTTATTAATTATTATTATTTAGTCTTATTCTTCTCTTAGTGCAGTCTATGTAGCAGTCAAATGCACTATCCTATATTATATGGAGTCTGATTTTGATTTTCTTCTGGTTCCTGAGACAGAAGTACATTTTCAAGTATTTGCCAAATCCAGAAGAGGAGGAAACTTTTGCATTCCTTGTAGTTTCTCTTTAACCACCTCTAATAGGCAAGAATTCAAGAACAACAGCAATTTGAAAAACTTCCCTGTGAGTCTGTGACAGCGAGTCTGTGACACAGGACAATTGACAATGGAAATCACTGCACATTCTGCCAGAGAGTGTCTCCACAAAACAAATGTGTAGCAAACTCATTTCCAGCTATCCCTATGGTGAAAACTTCTGGATTTGCAGCAGTGTCTCCTAACACAGGGAAAGGCAAGATCTGTCCATCTGTGCCTTTCTACCTTGCTACTAAACCCAGATCCTGCAAAAGTACAATCTAATGCCACCAGATCCTTAGGATGAGTAAGAATGGCAAGTTTTTTACTTTCAGAGAAGCCTGTGAACCTTGGAAGTACCACAGGTTTAGCTCTGAGTTGTGCTGGTTTGGACACAGGGACTCAGTGCCAGATTTTCTGTGTGTCACAGGTACTGATCCTGCTGGCCAGCCTGAAGGGTTTCTCCTGGTCCCTCCCCCTGAAACCATTCCTTTTGGTCTACACAATTAGTGAAATGGGGTGTCCTTGGACTGTAAATAACACTTCTCCCTGGCCCATGACTTCTGTCTAAGCTGTTGTCCTGTATTCTAGAGACAGCAACTTATCCAGAGACCATTACACTTATCTCTTCCAGCACTTGCTGTGAGAGATAAGCAAGAATTCTCCTGAAATACACTGAATCCTCTGTAACAAAATTAGGTGTAAATTGCTGCTAAGTGTTAAAATTTTCCATGTACAATTACAATTTTATACACATTCATTTGCAAAAGTATGCTCCTTTATTCTTGGGAAACAGATTGGAAGAAGCATAACTCTACAACTTTTCTTCAGAAAACTTGTAATAAACTTGTTTGGGGCTGTACAAACCCCAAAACTTCTGAATGAACAACCAACCATGCATAACAACTTGTTCTGTAAAGGAAAAAAGAAAAGATGCTGGGGATAGGTCTGAGGCTAAAGTTCACACAGCTGATTCTCCTCACATGGATAACTTGAAATTGTTCCCAGCTGAAGATGGGGACGGGTCAGGATTTTTTTTTTTTTTTTTTTCAGGTGAAGTCTATTAAAGGAGTCTTTCTTGAAGAAAAATGTTTATCAGCTTCTTGTGATGCAGCAGAGGATGCAAAGGTAGAGAGGTTTTTACTTGTTTTGGTTATGAGGAAGAGGGCTATGGTTTTGCAATACCTGTGTTTAACCTGCAGAACTGGTGGGCCACAGGACTTTATTGATCCAGGAGCACCAAACTGGTGAGGGGGGTTGGTAGAACATGGGCCTGGGCCCTGATAACCTGGGAAAGACACTCTGTCCCAGTAGGCAACTATAGTTTTGTAGCCAACTCTTCTAAATGTTATAGCAGTTTTCTCTGCATTTTGTTGTTGTTTTACTTCAAATGGAACAGGACTGGCAGAATAACACCTGAGAGAACTGTTGTCTTGTAAAGAGAGCTGGGAGTGAAGTCAGTCAGCAGTGTCCTGGCCATAACAGTCAAGTGACTTTGACAGTCGGTGTGTAGATGATTCACAAACCTTGGTGCTTTTGAGTTCTGAAGCGCAGAGGTCAAAAATTAAGTCAGTCTGATTTAATATAAATCTAGCACACATGTTTTAATTGAACGGATTAAAACACTAGTTTCAATGCACAATTCTTTTTGCCATATTGATTCACATCCACTCTCTTTCAGTGGTCCCTTCACATGAGCACTGTCCTACCCCATTTCTTCTAAACTGGTCCTGAAAAAAAAAAGGAGAGTGCCTGAAACACTTACTGCCTGTTCCGTTGACAAAGGAGTAACAAGAATATTCTCTTTGGCAGATGGACATCTCCCGGCGATGTCCACAGGACAGACAACACATAATGTAGCAGAGCAATGGGTCAGGACGTTAACTCTTCATGTTACCACCAAATGCTGTCAGGCCTGACTGTGTAAAGGCAGGAGGAAGAGCTCCTCAGGCTAAAGCAGATCTTGCTTTTTGTTTGTTTTGCCCTGCTGCAGGCAGTGTAACAGGTTTAAATGTATCTGCTGCAGAATGTTTTGGCTAACTTTCCCTTCCTTCCTGCCAGGGAGAAAGTTCATTCACTTTCAAAAACATTGCGGTGAGTTTCATTTCCAGGGCTGAAAGTGTTCAAGCCGACTTACCTCGCCGCTTCCTCCTGTGTGCACAAGCGCGTCTGTGGGCTCCGGGGCTGCCCGCGACCCCGCTCTGGGGCTCCCGAACCGGACCGGGACCGCTCCCGCCCGGCCGCCCGAGCAGGAGGGAGATGGGTCTGTCCGGTCCCCTGCGCAGGACGGGGCACCCACAGGCCGCGTCTGTCTCAGCCCAGGCCGGGGAGGCCGCTCGCGTGTGGGGGCTGCCGCCGACCCTCGGCAGCCGCCGCCCAGGCCGGCGGGCGGAGCGCGGGGTGGTCCCTGGGAGTGCGGGGCCCCTGTGGGCTGCGAGGGGAGAGTCCGCGGGGAGGCAGGGCAGGAGCGCGGCTGGGACTTCCCCCCGGAACGCAGCCTTTGGCCGCTGTGCAGCCTGTGCGAGAGCGGCTTCGCCGGAGCTGAAAGGGGGCAGCGGGCGAAGTCCTCGGCCTCGCCCATCCCGCCGGAGTCCCCGGGAGGCTGCGCTGCCCCGCCGGGACAGGGCTGCCAGGTTCCCCCAGGACGGGGCCGCCAGCTCTGCCAGGTTCCCCCGGGACAGGGCTGCCAGCTCCGCCGCGGAGCTCCGGGGCGCGGGGCAGACCCAGCCTCGCTGAGGCGACCCCACCCCGCTCCTCCCCGGAGAGCTGCAACTTTTTCACCCCACTCTTAGCGGGGCGGAAAAAAAGTTTCCCCCACCCTGGCTGCGTAAACGCTTTCCAGTGGGAGCATTGGGAGCTACATCGCGGCTGGGGATGAACCCCCCGGTGTCCCAGCTCCGTGCCCGTGCCTGCTCCGTCCCGGCGGTGACGGGAGGTGTCTCTGTATGGATGAGCGCTGGGCGCAGTGCTCGAAGGCAGCCTGTGAAAGTTGAGCTGGAACTTGCAGCTGAGGGCTGTCATTGCCATCCTTACCTGTGCAATGCCTGTTCCCAGCAGAAAGCCCGGGTTAGAAGTGAGAGCAGCAAACGCGCCGTCCCGCCGGGCCTGCCTGTGTTGACGGATTTGTTACCTCAGCAGTGACGATTTTGGGTTTGGCTGTATCACTGAAAAGTGAGAGTTCAATCATAATTCTGAACAGTTTCCCACTGGGTAGGCAGAATTCCACAATATAACTCAGATAAGTTACTTCTCTATTGTCTTTGTCCTCTGAATATCTTCAGTATATGTGAATGTAGTGCATGTTCATTATAGACAAAACTGGTTTAAAATGTGCTGGTAATGACAGTATCTAAAAATTCCCTGAGAACTGGCCAGGGATTGGAATTGTGTGGAGAGGCAGCGCCACTCTGGGAGGGTAAACCCGGGAGTCTTGTTTATCCTTTCAGAATGCTCATGGCAGAACAAAGCTGATATAATGAAGACAAACCAAGATTATTGTGACATCTTGTACTTTTTCCTGACATCATCTGAGGACAATGGTTTCTGCTGCAGTATCTTTGATATTGCTTGTAGATGCTGGGTTTTTTCCACGTCCTTCCTCACCACTCTTCTCAGAATGTATTGCACCATTAATAATTTTCTAGCTTAATTACTTGTTCATGTTTTTGTTCTTAATCGGATAAGTAGATAATGGACAGTCTCTGGGTGATTGGTTATTCACATTCAAGCACCACATTCCAAACTTCTGAATAATTATTCATTAATGGGAAAGAGTAATTGTTCCCCGTAGAACTATGAGTAAATGTGTACACTTGATCTTTAATCTTTGCAGTGATTAAGAATTCTTGAAACCAAGATGTGTGTTTGCAGTGTTGAAAAAATTTTGTACACTTTCAATGCTGTGTAAGCAAATAAAAAGTCTATAGAAAACATGCACTAAATATGTATAAGAGTATAGAAGTTTCCTGAAGTAACAGAGCAATTTCGGCAGTTAAGTAGGGGTAGATGTAGAGCACAAAATTCTAAGTTCATTGTTTGGAATGTGAAAAAATAGTTTCCACTTCATTGTAAGGGGTCCTGTCCAGTATTTCATGGGTTTGCAGACTAGAAATTGGTGATGATATCTCATATCTTTGTTACCAACTGAATCATACACAAGGCCTTTAAACAGAAATTTTGAGAATTCTGTGCAGGTGAATTTGCTGTTTTTGTAATGCACGGATACTTGAACATTTATCATTCTCAAGTCAGTATTTACTGCAAACTAAGCTGAAACTACTAATTGTTTCCTGTTGCAATATTTATCAGGTATTTTCAGCAGATTTTCCCTGGGATGTTTGCAAAAATCCAGGAAAAAGAAATGTTTTGGTTATATTTGGTTTGAATGTTAAAATCCTGTCAAGATGCAGATGATTTTGGTTTTAGGTGACTTTATATATGATGGCATAGGCCAATTTTGCCTTTCACCTTCCTCCTCTTAAATTTTATGCTTATTAGAGTAATGCTACACCTCAGGAATTTGTTATTTTGTAGCTTTTGCTCAGGGTAAAACTCTAACCAAAAAGGACAAGAGGAGATGATGACACCTCAGGTTTCAGGGGGAGATATATTCCAGTAACATGGGAGGAATTGGCAGGGAGCAGACTCAGACTGATATGCCTTGCTTCTTTCAAAGTAGGGAAGAAAATTAAGTAAATTAGGTAATCAACAACTCCAAAATAGATGATGAATCATTTTGCATTGCTTTTTAGTACACTTTCAATGTATGTCCATTGGAAATGATAATTTCAGTAAATCTGCGTGCTTTTTCTCTAAATTCTATTAAAATACACATAAACAAATGCATACATACCATATATTAGTGTTACTATGATAACTGATAGCTTTTAGAGACTTGATTTCAATTGATTTTCTCTTTTAGAGCTCCTCACAATCAAATCAGTTGGAGGATGTGAGTGATTTCTCCTTGCTGCTCTGCTTGTGACTGTGTCTCATTGCTGGGACAGCTCGTGCCATCTCACACAGAGGTAAGAGTTCTCCATGTATGTACATTGGAAATGATAATTTCAGTAAATGTGTGCTTTTTCTCTAAATTTTATTAAAATACACAAATGTGTACATACCATATATTGGTAAGTATTATAATAACTGATAGCTTTTAGAGACTTGATTCCAAGTGATTTTCTCTTTTACAGCTCCTTACAATCAAATCAGTTGGAGGATGTGAGTGATTTCTCCTTGCTGCTCTGCTTGTGACTGTGTCTCATTGCTGGGACAGCTCGTGCCATCTCACACAGAGGTAAGAGTTCTCATCTTCTTGAGCTTTTGTATTCTGTTGAGTTTTGCTGCGAGCATCCTTTTAGCTAAGGTCATATAAAAGAGACTGCCTTTTAGGTATTATTGCAGTAGGAACACTCTCAAGTTTGTTCAGGAAGCTCCAGCTTCAGTATTTCCAGTCCTGTGGTTTTGAAGGCAGCTGCCCAACCAAACCAGCTTTGGTTGGTGTTCAGGGTGTTGAAGAGTGCAGCCTCACTGCCCTCAGGTGGAATGAACTGGAAGCTGTGCTGGTTGTATAAAATTGCAGCTAGGTCTTTTGGGTACATATATTGATTTTTGTAAAATAAGGAAAAAAGTGGACTCTACAATAGATAATGAAAAACAAAGAAGTTTTGATGATAAGTACAGGGCAAGAAAAAAATATTCCACTTCCAAATTCTTTGTGTTTCCACTGAATAAAATAATTTATTACATAAGTAAAATACAAACAGTGACTGTAGTTTTAGTTCTTCATTTCACTTTTACCCTAATGATCAACTTCATCTCCTGGTAACATTAGAGTAGCAATCAGAATATTACATTAAACCCACAGCTGCACTCTTCAGCTGTTGCTTCTGTGTGCAGGTTTCTGGAATGAATCTTGGCTTAACACCTCTCAAGTAATATTTCATACCTTAAGTTCCTACATTGTGCAATTTTAATATACATTACCTGTATAATATAAATACAGTTACTCTGGAGATGACAGTGCTACTCTGTATGCAGAATTCAATGCATACAATTTAAAAGACAAAGGGTAGCTGAAGTCAAATGAATTCAGTAAGTCTTTTGGTTTTTTACAACAAATCGAGAAAAATCTCAGTTGAAGTTAATAAAATACAAAAAATATGCATCAGCAGAAGATCAATTCATGTGCACTGGGAAAAAAAATGGCATTGAATCTTCAGTGAAGTTCCCAGAGGCTCCTCTGTAAGCACCTCCATTACCACACAAAGGCAGCTCGCTCCCGCAACATCCTGACCCCAAAGCGCTGCCACTCCCTCTGGTAGATCCACAGCTCCTGAGTGGTGTCCAGACAGGCCAAAACTGCCCCTCCTTTCCAGGCAATCAAACGTGGATCCATATCCTAAATTCAGAACACAGATTGCACACAGTCATTGCTCTCATTTGGCATCGTTCTCCAAAGTTGTATCTTATTTTTCCAACACTATTCACTAGTTAGAATCTGGTGGGGTAGGGGAAGAGATAAGTTTTACAGTATTATCCAGGAAAAAGTAGTAAGATAAAAATATTTAATTGATGTGAGAAGTCACTTTTTGTTTTAAGATGCTTTCTAAGGACATAACGAAAATCTTGCCTTCAGTAATGGAGGCTCTGAAATAGGTGGAAGTATATTTACAAGTTTTGCCTGATTAATGCCAAATGAAAATTAATCTCAATGCCTGTTTTTCTATTATCTTCGTAATACTAAAAAAATTTTAAAAATCACAATTTCTTGCTGAGGAGACATGTTTCCTGCATGGGCCAGTCCTAACTGCTTCTTTAAGAATAGGGCCTTGAGCTAATAGACACTTCAGTGATCTGTACCAGTCCCACTCTTGCTATGCCTCTAAGGCCCTGTCTCTAACCAGCCAGTGCTATGTCATAGGCTAAAGCTCCCTTAAATCTCAGATATTCAACTACTCTGGGATTTTAAAAGAATTTTTTTCTTTTAACCTTTCAAAGATTTAAACCAATCATAGTTTACTAACTACTTAGCCATCAGTTAACAGTTACCTTAGGCCTTGTGATGACCTCAACATTTTCAACAACTCTTCTGAAGGAAGGTGGCATTTTGTTGAGAATTCGGTGTTGAAGAAACTCTTGAGCTTTATGAAACATAAGGCCTCCTCCCACTACTAAGATGGAGCTGTACATCTTCTTTTTTGTATCATCAGATGCTGGAACGAATGAATATATAGAAATACATCTGTTTTTTGAAGTTATTATGGTCTGTATTACAATTAATTTAGTGCAAGTCAAACCAGAGAGAAACTGATGTTTGCTTTTAAAATTCTTCTATTCCTTGGACACATAGCTCAACAAACATCAACAAAGATGCAAGCATAAGAAACAGTGTAGCTACTCTCCAGATGATAAAACCTAGGGACACATCTTTCTTTGATGAAATACAGGAGTTACATAAATCCACCCTGAGGTCTATTTCACAGACTTGTACAAATGCAATTCTTACCACAGCAGTCGATACTATGAAGGATGGCTTTGTCCAGGCCCAGGGCTTTCCCTTCAAACTGAGAAATAGCAGTTTTCCTGGACATGTGTGCACTTAAAGGTTCCTCTGAATCATTGCCAGGTATCATACAGTCACCCTGGGAAGAGCCCAGCTCCACTTCTTGGGGGTAGATCCTCTCTGAAATGTCTGAGGATTGGCCTCTCAATTCTCCCTCAAATGCACCAGGCTTTGACATAGATTTTCTGTCAGCTGTAGCTTTTGCAGACTTCAAAATGAGAAAACAAAAATGTAAAAATGTCACAGCTGGTTACAGAACAGTATAAAGACTTAACTAAGCACCTCTGTACTTCCCTTCACCTTTTTGGCCAGCAAGGTTAAGCCCTGCATTATTGCCTCATCTGATTTTCATTTTAATCCTCATGTTCTAAGTAAGGGCTTATTTTGAACCCCATCAGATTGCTCAATCCCATAATAGAGGGATCCCTTCTTAGACTTTAAAAATGCACACTTCTAATTAAAGAATTGTTTAGGCATCTGTAACTACTTAACTTTAAATTTATTCTTTAATACTTCTGACCGAGGTAACAAACTGGTTTCTGAGATGAGCTAATTGAGTCCTCATTTTATTCCCCAATTAAAAGACAGTTAATTAAAAATAAAACCAGCAATCACACACCTGCTCCTGCTTACTTTGTGTGGCCAGCAGATAATGTTCATCGTGAGGATCCTCAGGATCACCTTGTGACCTGTGCTGCAAAATTGTCATTTTTTGTCCAACAATTCCAAAAGTTGCTGGATAAAACAGAGCCATGGGTGCCTGAAGAGAGATTTGGCACGGTTTTACTACAGTATTCCTTCTTATGGCCTTTACTACAGAAAAAAGAAAAGTCTCATTCTATTTTATCTCTATTCAAAATTAAATGGAGGTGTTTTTTTTCCAGGTAGTTTGTGAAATACTAAAGTGTCTTCTGTTTTTTATAATTAAAAAACATGCCAACAATTACACAAGTCTCTTTAGAGATTTAGCATTGTGTGATAAACAAGTACACAATTGTAATTTGTTACAAAATCAGAAAATTCAATGGTAAGCTGAAAAACTTGCAAAGTTAACATTAATGCTTTGAACTTGAAGGATAATTATCACATTTAGATGAAGCAACAATCATTGTGGCTAAAGCTACTCATGAAGTCTTGTGCATCCACCAGTGCTGCATTAGGCCCACTCATCCATACAGGAATTCATTTTATCTACAAGCAGTTTAAGAACAATCCTTAAATCACATGGGCTGAGTAGCACTGGACTGATACAAATTGAGGCTCTGAGTCTGAATGCTCATTACGTTTGTAATTTAATTTAAAAATCACCTGTAATTTCTCATCCCCTAACCGGAACTGGTACAATAAAGCTGGAGAATCCGGATGCCGGATTTGGAACTCATGATCTTGCAATCCAGAAATATCCTAAGGTAAGAAACAATGGAAACAACAACAAAAAAAATCTTTTATATCTATCAAGCTGCATAGTCTATTTAACTAAAGCAAACAAAAAAAAAGTAACAAAACTCTCTCCTAACTATGGATTTTATTTAGCTATTCTTGAGTTTTTAAAAGTCCTTTCCATGTAGTATGATGTGCCAGACAGCTTTCTACATGCCTAAGCCTTTACAATGAGGGTTTTGCAGGAAGAAGAGACCTGCTGGCAGATCTTACAGAACTCAAGTCGAAAACCAGCAAGTATGCAATTATTATAAGCTTCTTTCAGCAATAAGAACAAAGAAATTATCTTTCTAAGGGTTGGGATTCCTTTCACCTAGAGGAAAAATAAACTAAGTTACAAAAATTTCAAGTCTAAAGCTTCTACAGCTTTTGCCAGTATTCTCCTGAGTAAAATATTTACAACTTGGACTCATAAAAAAGGCTCCCCAGAGTAACATTCTGTAAAATAAAAAATAATTACTTGGATAACACATGATTTGCCCCTTCTCACCTGATCTAGATGGCAAAATGTCTCCTTTAGATGCTGAAGCAGCAGGCAATCCAACTTATTAGTTAACTGGCAGTCCCTGTATGGGAATCCTGCTCGTTGCATAAGCCAATAAAAACACCTTGACACATCAGATCCTCCATATGCAAGGCATAGCCTAAAGCACAGAGAAGAAAAAGATCTTTTTATGTAGTTACTGAAATACTGGCTGACTGCAGCAATAGTGAAAGGACTGCTAGGAAGATTTTAGCCACGTTGGAATCATGACTTCCACAGAGTTTACAGAACGCAGTATTAGTTCTGATCAGTTCTGCCTGTTTACTTCTTTTAAAGATAATTCTTTAAGGTTCATATTTCAACAGTTGTCCCTGTTAAATGCCTCAGAGTAAGAAAACCCCTATATTTCTATAACTTTTGTCTCCTTTTAGAAGTCAAATCTTTGGTAAGCAAGTAAGTCCATGATTATAACAATTCTGCACACTCTAAGGTACCTGGTGTTGCGATGGGAAACACCATCTTCTACACAGCAAACACTTGTCTTCTGATCTCCCACATCCACAATGCATGCACTGCTTAAACCACTTCCAAAGGTAGCACAGACAGACTCCTGGTGTACAATAATTCCTAGCAACACAAGAAAAAATTATATTAAATTTAGGCCAAACATTTCAGTCATGTTGCTGACATTTAAAGGACATTTTAATGTCTTTTAAAAAGCTACAAATAGCCTGACTCTCCCCTGAAAGCCTGTATATTTAATGAAGGTGGGGTGGGGCGTACTTACGAGATTTTTTTTGTTGAATAAGGCTTTAAAAGTCCTGATAGGAAGCTAAGAGCAGGGTCAAATGATCCTTTTTCTACAAGATTAAAGGTATTGTCTCCAAACTGCAAGTATTTTTTCAATCTGGTAATGCAGGGTCTTGGCTACCAGATGTACATGCAATATTTTTCTAATTTTTTTTCTGGTTTTGATCAAGTAGCATTATTATTAGCATTTCAGATATGGTCTTTAAGTAGTTATGACATAAGGCCCAATTTGACCCTCTTTTTTCCCTACAATCCTACAATGTGCTTTACAGAGCACATTTGTGTCACAAGCCCATACTTAAACCTGGGAAGTACCAGAGATTCCAGTCTGTCCTTCTAGGCAGTCATGCATTCTAGAAATACTGAAGAAATCAGACTGCTGCTACTTTTACCCCAGCTGAATGAGAAGCCCACAGCTGGAATGCATAACAGCAAACCAAAAAACTTGTTTCAATATTTTTCAAAAAAACCCCATTTTACTCCTTTAGAAGAGACAGCAGTTATGTGATTGGCAAAAGATGAGGGTGCTAGTCCTAGCTAACCTGGGACTGATGTGCAAAAATGTGCCTTAAAAGAAATATGCCTTAAAAGAAAAAAAATGCAAGTACTTCCTTCACTATGGTTTTTACCTGAGAAGCCCATCTTCATTAGGATCATATTTACCAGTTCTTTCACATGTTGTTTATTATAGATGTCTGGAATTAGTAAAATGCATCTGTAGTACTGAAGACAAGAACAGTAAATTAAAGCCAGCTCTCAAATGAAGTTCGATATACAACTTAATTAAAAAAAAATCAAAATTTGAGGAAAGGGGAAGGTTTTCAATACTTTAAAAAAAATGTTCTAAGTAAGTGCCAAGAGTCCATAGCCATTAAAATGTTTAAAAGTACACCAGGCATGAAACAAATACCTACTTAGCAAGGATAAGTAATTACACAAGTATTAGGCAGTCGTTCCCCAGGTGCCTCCTTTACAGTCAACAAAAAAACCAAAGACTAAAACTGTGAAATGTCTATCATGGGATTTCTAAACATCCTTGTTAGAGGTTCTATCAACAGCTTTTGTCTTAAAGACATGGACAAAATTCCAGATGGAGTCCTGGGATCCCTGCTCACCAGCAGAAAAGAAGGTATTTACTAAGGAAAGCACCTCTAAGAGGCTACCAATACCAGCAAGTTGCTTCTCTTTTACAGTAACATTTAGAGAAGTGGATACAGCCCCCTCCACATAAATGTGCTGTTCACAGCTCACCTTTAGGTCTTTCAGAGGTATTTCCAGGTACTTTTGTATTGCATGTGACCATATAACTTCCAGGTCTGCCAGTACTGCAGTGAGGGAGCCACCAGGTCCTGCGTGGAGATTCAGCTGCCCCCTTCTAATGGGCCAATGGATGTTGTAAGAATCCAATGGATTAACATACAGGGCCTGAAAATGAGAGATTGCATTCTGGACATTGCTTTTCCCAAAAAAAATACTAACAAAATGAGTAACAAGTGGGAAGAAAAGTATTTCAGAAGCACACACAAGACACTGCAGAGCTCAGACTGATGTAACAGCAATATAGCGGATTTCTTTGCAACAGGGCTTGATTAACCATTAGAATAAAAATTCAGCAAATACATAGTCTAAATTGTTTGAATGTTCTTACCCACAGACATCTAGTGAATATAAAGCTGTATTTTTCTACTATCTCATATTAGAAACTAAAATAATTTAAATACTTTGAAGCCCACAAATATCAAGTTACTCAGTGGTAATTCCATGTAGTGATACTTTTATCAGTTTCTTTCTTTTTCTCTGAATTATGCCATATGGGTGAAGTTCTCATTTACTCCCTGCAAAAGCCCTGATTTATAGCAGCAAGGGATCCAAGACACTTGTTAAGCAAATGGGGGAACCCTCTTGTCTTGCTGAATGATAAAAAATACTCAGTTACTCCACAGTACAGTTTCTCAGTTTTGCTTGGTTAGCTTTACACATCTTTCAGTACATACTAACTTATAGCAGACTGCAACTGATCAATGGCTGCATTAAAGCACACAAAGCCTCATTCAGCAGGAAAATCAATCTTACCTCTTCTCCTACCAAAAATTCAGGATGATTTGATGTGTTTGTCCACTTGGCCCCAGAGCTGTGATCCAAAATGGCAGGCCTCATCTGTCTGTTGTATGACCTGGCCTGAAATGTAACCAAACCAAATCCTGTTGATAAATATTTCACCGGTCACTTTTTATGCATGGAAGAAAAATGAAATATCCCTTTGAAGCCAGCCCTTGAGGGATCACTTATCATCTTAATTTTCTCATGTTTTCAGTTAGGTAGCAGAATAACACCCATATTTGGTCTAGGAAGGGTATCTGTTCTTGTCCTGAAGCACAGCATCTCACCCAAGGACTACATGAATGAACAATTTAATAAGAGCTAAAGAATGAGTTACCTGATCAGGTGACACTGGTATGCGCCTCGCTCCGTTTGACATCTTTTTGGACCATATTGCTTGGTCCACCATTTTAAGGCCATTTTGTCTCTGCTCAGTACTTTCAGGTTTCTAAGGAAAAACCCCAAATATGCAATATTTAGACTGAAGCTATTAGGAAACAATGAAATAATTTCTTATTAAATTTAGATAGACAGTAGAAAGGACAGATGCTTGTACAATCTAAAACAGACTTATGCTTATTTTAAAAGAAACTATTTTTTATATTAGAGTTCCCAACACCTATTCAAGTCAGCTTGAATCTTTTAACTGCTTTTAGTGGCTGCTGGACTTCATCTCTAGTGATGTGCTCAGGCCATTATCTACTTAACTACAGACATATGAAATAGGAACAAAAATGTTTAAACAGATCTCCATTATTTAATGGTGAGGTCTAATATTAGCGAGGTTAGTTTGATTTTTACAGATTCAGACTACAAGTAAGCTTATTACATATGTCTTTTGACCAGGCTGGCCTAAAATGACTTGCTGTGTTACCCAAGTCACTAACCAGTAACCAACACATTCACAAACGGAGAAGTCTGATTCTAATCCTACAGCTGGCATTCCACCAGAAGAAATACTGAGTGTGGTACCAGGGAAATCAACATGTACAAACCCTCATCCTGTTAATTCTTTAGGTCTAGCTCATTGCAAACAAATAAAATAAATAAATCAAATAGACTGATCCAAGCCTAGTGACTTCAGTAGGTGACATCTACAGTCCTTATAAGGGTGAAAAAAAAAAGTTTGACACGAGATGTATTCTCCTCTGGAAAACCACGAACTGACTTCAGTAGGTGACATCTACAGTGCTTATAAGGGTGAAAAAAAAAGTTTAACACGAGATGTATTCTCCTCTGGAAAACCACGAAGGATGACAGGCACATATGCACTACACCAGAAACCAAACCGCCCCAGAGCGGGCGATGGAGACGCGGGTTTCGGCGAGGCGGGCCCGCGCTCACATTGAGGCCGTCCCTGAGGAGCCAGCTGTCCCTGTAGGCCGCCTGGCCCGGCTGCTTGTGCCGCCGCGCGATCACGTGCGGGATGCCCGCGGGCAGCGTGTCCGTGGCCCGCCCGAGCCGCAGGGTGGTCGAGCCGGGGTGGATCACCACGATGAAGTTGCTCTGTATTTGCTGAAAGCAGCACAACGAGCACGGAGTCAGATCGAGCGCCCAGGACCACCCGGAGCCCTCCCGGCGCTTCCACACCCCCTCCGCAGGCCTTTAAAAGGCCGAGCCCGGGCCGGGCCCGCCCCAGCGGGGAGGGAGCAGCGCCCGGCAGCCGCCGCTCCGGGCCTCACCTCCTGCAGCGACTCGGGCACGGCGGCGGGGACGATGGGCCGCTTCACGCCGCGCTGCTCGCGTTCCCGGTCGCGCTCCTTGTCCTTGCCGTTCTCCGCCTCGCCTTTCTCCGCCTGGGTCATGCTCCGGCCGGGCGGAAGCCGCGTCTGCCGGCCCCGAGCGGCGCCGAGCCCGGCGCGGGGCGGAAGCGGGCGGGCCCTGGCCCGGCCCCGCCCCTCGGCAGGTACTGGGAGAGGCCTCGGCGGCTCCCGGGCGCTGCCGGGATGGCTCCGCTTGGAGCGGAGCGCGGGGCTCCTGCCCCGGCGCTGAGGAGCCCCGCAGCGGCACGGGGAGCCTGGGGAGCAGCCCTGCCGCGGGTCCGGTGGAGCGCCAGCCAAACGCTCTCAGCTGGGCTGGTACTGCTGGAGCTTAAAATACTCTGTACAAAGGCTGGTGTACGTGATAAGCTGCAGCCTCCCTGTTTGTGGGCAGCGAGCACCTTTATAAACTGTGCAGAGAGGGTGTTTCACTAGAGCTGGGGCAGATGTGTTTTTTAAAGGCTGAAAACTGCTGTTCCACAGCCTAAAAGAGAGGAATTTTGTGTTAAGTAGGCGTGGTATCTGCGGGAGTGACTTGTTAATTGAGGGCATTGTTGATTAATGTCCTGCTAAGGACTGTTAAAGAATACGTTCAGTGCAAGAACAGTGAGAAACTCCCATCCTGAAAAGGGGTACATCAGATAAAAGATAGTTACTATTTGAAAGAAAATAACTACTCTGGGATAGCCTTCAGCATTTGAGTTGACCTCTTTTTTCTTCATGTAATAATAGCAAATTTTATTGTAAAAAACCTTAAAATTTGTACAGTAAATATTTTTACTCGTTTCAGTAAGTTTTTAGGGGAGAATTAAGTTCTTTCAAGGGGTGTTTCTGTTATAAACACCATTATGGACCTTAGTAAAGCAAGGGCTGTAAAACAAAATAATTTGTTAACATTTTTGAAATGCTTTTAGAGTATCATTAATAGAAGGAAAATACAACAAAGTACGTGTTATGAATAGAAAATTGTATTTTTTTTAAGTTTCAGAGTGAAGCAAGGGTTGTAAAACAAAGTAATTTGTTAACATTTTTTAAATGCTTTTACAGTATCATTAATATAAGGAAAATAGAGCAAAGTACGGAGTGTTTGTTCTGAAAGAGTAAGTAGAAAAGCTCTTAGGAAGTGCTCCTTTGACTTTTGAGGGACCACCTCTATCAACTATAAATATGTATTTATATATATAAGAAGGCTTATTGTACTTCAGATTTTTTCAATTTTTAAAAATGATGAGAAAATCAGCCTCGTGACAAGCCAAATATAATTTACTTATAACGTTGCAACTACAGTAAAATGTTCAGAAACTATACAAAGACTTTAGACAGTAAACATGTATTTAATGAAACTGTCGTTCAGTTACACCGGATCCTTGAGGAAGGAGTTCCCAGTACAACTTCATTGATCTGCTTCTATCACAGAACAGTTTCCAGTCAGGCATACACATCCCCATTTGGTCCACCACTAAACTCTTTTCATGTGGCTGATGTGTATGCTTGTGCCTGCCTCTTCAGCAGGCGTTTACCTAAAAGACAAAGCAGTAACAGTACATTTACAAAGGCCTTTCTTGTGAGATGAAATTAACTAGAAAATTTAAAATAATATTGCTTTTAATTTAGCTAAATGAGATATGCTAAAGACTTGCTAACTATTTCTGAGCAGGTTACACATAGCTGTGATTACCCAAAAGCCATCTCCATGGTCTTTGCAAGAAAACCACAACGTCCCAGGGTTTTTCTCGCACTTGGAAGAAGCTTATCCTTGTTCCAGTGGACTGAAATACTGGTGTCAGTTTCCTGGTATATGAACTTTTTCCTACAAGGTTTACAGGTAATAACCACCTGCATGGGTTGTTTTCCTTGTAACTTTTATTATAGTAACAATGGGAATGACTGATGAAAAACAAAGTTTACTTAAGTCTTAAAGTAAATTAAACCATACTGTAAATACACTCAGTGTCAGCTGTAACTCCCAGCAGCCAAACTAATTATTAAACAGAATTAAATATCAGGCAGTTGTAAGAAATTTAAAACCTCTTTTACTTTTACCTCTATTTTTAGGCAATTCTAATTTTAACACTTTACTGGAATTCAAGATTTTTCCCCCATTATAATGACACAGCCATGGCATGGCTGTGTCATTATAATGGGGGAAAAAAACCCCATTTTTACTGTCTTGTAACAACTTTATATTTTTCTTTCAGTTCTGTTGAGAAATACCAACTTTAACCAAAACCCATCACGTCATATAACTATTAGAAATGCAAACAAAGCATCATTTTCTAACAATCCGCTTTTTAAATCAGCAGCTAAAAAAGATGAGAAGCTATAAATAACTTATCAGCTGTGCTCAAAAATCTTTGCCACACTTTGTCTATCAATTTCTGTGCAATTAAAACTGAAAGCCCACCATTCCTAAACCAAAATCCTTTTTAACATCCCTTCCCCCTGCTTGTTCTCCCCTTTACTGGAAGTATCTTTATTTCTTTTATTGTTGAATAATTTTGATTATTTTCCTGTTTTGGTAACTTCTGCAGCAGGAAGACAAAACTCTCCATTCTACCTTTACCCTGAATTAACACTGCTATTAAAAAAAACCCCAAACCCTTCAAAGCAGGATGCAGCAGATTTGGAATTACCTTCCTCATCCACCTCCAGCCATCGGGGGTGGACTGGGGCCTCCCCCCCAGTGATTTATTCGGCCCATCCGCCGGCGAGGATTTGCTGGAGGCCTGGAAAGAAAGGAATTCTACCTTCATTAAACTTTTCAACAAGAAACACAATAACACTGTCTCTAAATGTCAGTAGTGAGAAAGTCTGAACCTCTAAAAAAAGTTGAGTTTCACCTGGAAAGCTGTAAGAAAAGCCCAACCCCACTATCACAAAAATCCTCTCCTGTTTCCACTGCTGTGTGATGTGAGAAGGCCCTGAACCTCTGAAAAAGCTGTTTCACCTGGAAAGCTGTAAGAAAACCCCATTATCACAAAAATCCTCTCCTGTTTCCACTGCTGTGTGATGTGAGAAGGCCACAGATCACTGATGCTTTTACACAGTTCTACACAACACTTAGGCTGCAGTGTTCATAGAAATTGCACCCCTGTAATAGTGCTTTGCTTTAGGTAATGTAATACAAGAAATGACTGCACTAATGCAAGTCAAATGCTGAGTACAAATATACCTAAGAAAATAATTTTAACAAAGATGTATCTTGTCTCCTAGGCAGGCTTTAAAAATATTTTCAGAGATGTTAGTCTGTCTGTACTGCTATTGCAGGTGTCCAGAGCTGTGTATTGTTACCAACAATAGTGCAGATAACCACTTTAGCCTTCCTCCACAACCCAATTCAATGCAAATCACAACTGTAATCTGCTCAGATTCATGTCACTTCACCAAGACAGAGGAAAAAAACTGTGTGAATATGAGAAAAATACCCTCTTCCATCATGGTATCCTGAATAGGAGGAAGATGTGTAGCCTCTTCTTCTTAAATCTGGTTGAATAATGCTCTGGAAACTGAAAAATGAAAACAATGGTTAGGTGAATTGATAGCTAGATATAGTTTTTGAATATTTTGATTGGAAGCTAAGAAATGGCCTGAAAAACAGTAAATAGTGTTCAGGAATGAACAGTGTATCTCCTCATGATCACTGTTGTTTAAATCTTGGTAAATTGTTTCCTATATATGAAATTAGAACCTTAAATAATTCCAAATTACAGTGAGGCTTAAACTATAAAATCTAGTTTTCTTAGTAATATGCAAGAAATGCATAAAGTATAAACTTATAACTGAAATCGCTAACAACTGTTGAATATATCACATGAACTTTGTTTGTTAACTAGCTTTGATCCAAATTTGTGTTTACTGTGTGATTACTTTGATGTAGTCAGAATCTATTGTCACCAGTAAAAATTCTCCAAACAGCTTAATTATTTGATCAGCTAGTGATGCTTTTTAACAAAAGTTAATATTTAATTTCTGCAGTATCAAAATAGATTAAATTTAAGACAACTCATTTGAACTGCCAATAAGTTATAGTCACTTCTCATGCACTTTTTGTTAAGTATACCGTGCTTAATAAACACAACCACATAGTTGTAGTAAAGCATTTATACATATGGAATGCTAGAGAATAAATAAAATATTTTTATTGTTGTGTTACTGATAGCATTGTGTAACTTCCACCTATGTTAAATCTAAAATGAAGTTCACCAAAAGAATGAACTTGTACTTACAACAGGACCACAAAATCTGCTATTGACCAGAAGAAATCTGTTATAGATGACAACCTCCAGGGAGCCCGACTCTGGTTTTCCAAAACTTGTCCTGTAACATATCCAGATACAAGACATCCAGTGACGTTCAGTGTGTGACACTGAACAGGACATTAACAAAACCAGATCTGCTAAGTCCAGAGCTTGCAGCTGGCACGGTGAAACTGCGCGTCATGGCAGCGAGTTTCATTTTCTGCAGGTTACTGCCCAAGTACTTGAGCTAAAGGGGTCAGCACCGCCACACGGGCTCCACGTCCAGAAAACCTACAGAAAGTACCAGCGCGGAGTCTGATTCCCCGTAAGCGGTTAAAGCGCCGCCTGTGACACTCCCGGTGTCGGCAGCACGCACTTGGACTCCTCAGAGTCCCCAGATCCGCTTTAGCAGCAGGCCAGGCTGGGCCCCAGGCCGCAGGGCAGCGCGGGGTGACGCGACACCGGCAGCTGCCAGACCCTGCCCGGCTGTCCCGGCAGCGGCGCCGCTGGGGGCGGCGCTCCGTGCAGCGCAGCCCCGGTGCCCCCGGTCGGTGCCAGCCCCCGGCCCGGCCCCTCACCGCCGCAGACACACAGCGCGGCTGCCCCGGCCCCCCGGGAGCCCGGCCCCTCACCGTTCGAGATGTACACCATGGCTGCCCGCCGGCCCGGCCCCGGCCCCGCTCCTGCGCCTGCGCGGCCGCCGCGCGCATGGGCAGCGGGCGGTGACGGCGGCGCCCGCGGAGGAGCGGCCGCGGGGCCTTGGGGACGCTGGGGTCCCTGTCCCCTCGCCTCAGGGCAAGGGCGTGCAGCCCTGAGATCAACGGGGTCCCACTCAGGACCGCCTGTTGTCGAGGGGTCCCTGTCAGCAGCCCTGTTATTAACGAGTTTTCCCTCGGCACCCCGGATAACGGGGCATCCCGCTCTGTACCCGGGGTAACGAGGGGTCCCCCTGAGCAGCCGGTTTTATTAACCAGGTTCCTCACAGTCCCCTGATAACGAGGGATCCCCTCAGAGTCTCGGTATCGGGACCCCTCTCAGTGCTACCAGTAACGAGGGATCCCCTCAGAGCCCCGGTACCGGGGCCGCTCTCAGTGCCCCGGGTAACGAGGGATCCCCTCACAGTTTCGTACCGGGCCCCCTCTCAGTGCCCCGGGTAACGAGGGATCCCCTCACAGCCCCGGTACCGGGGCCCCTCGGCAGCCGCGGC